ATCTGATGTCAACAAAATGTCACCTTGACTAAGTTTCGAAATTTACGGTCGAATGAATGCCTACTTTATGCCAAAAGAACAGCACGCATGAAAGTTAAAGTTTGGCCACAAGGGCTGTGCCATGGCCCGGCTCAGCGACCGGCTCATCTTTGCCAAGTCGCCGGACCAGGCGGGCCGTCCGGACCTGTCCGGTTCTCAAGGTCTACGCCCGGCCTCCACATAACGGATGCCAAGCATGCATAGGCGTAGGAGCGTTTCAAAAGTGGGGGCCAAGCTCGGGACGTGCTTCAGGGGCATTTTTGGAAAGCAAGCCCGATGACCAGGGGGAGGGGTGGAGATGGAGGATGTTATCTCTCTTCATTCAACTGTCATGACTGCTATGCTAGATATGTATCTAAAGCTGTTTGTCCGGGTGCGTTAATCTTGCCTATTGGACTCAGGTATGTCATTCGGCAAATAAGGGTGTCCAGCTTCCCAAAATCATTCGTCCATTTGACATTGTCTTTCCTGGGGACGCGATATTCCACGAGCGGGTAGGCATTTTGGGTCATTGAGGAGGCATCTGCCTTCACAGGGTAGATGCCAAAATACAGCTTGGCCATAGGCTGGTAAAAATTTTTAAATGTGAATGGATGGCTCACAGTGCGACAGGTTTTTCATATGCCTTCATTTCGATGGCTGTTTTTCAAGAGAGCAGACTTGTCGTAGCACTTTAGGCGGAAACAAATTCGGAAGCTTGAAACTAAAACTGGAGATTTTCCTTTAACAACCAGGGCGCAGAACGAAGGGCGTTCTGCCGTATATTCCTTATCTGGGCCCTGCTCCCGTCCGCCGTCGGCGGCCACTGCCCAGGCCCGGCTGTCTCCCGCATGACTGACTGCGAACTGATCGTATGGCTGCTTTGTTGCATATTTCTGGATCAGCATTGCCACTAATTGGTGTGTAAAACATATGCTGGACACCTGCAACAATATCTTTTTCCGAATTATCTTCCCTTACGCCACACCACCCCAGAAAAAAAACCTCCGATAAGCTGTCTTCTAAGCTGCCTAAGAAGTTCTTAGGTATGAATCGGCCCAACGAACATTTATAAACTGTCCATCATTCAATGTAGACGACTTGGCCTGCTTTTTTGTGTAGGCAGGGGCATAGTCAGAGCCTTGCTAAGAGGGAACACAGGGTTGACAAAAGCCCTCTTATGGTGACCCCCAAAAATCCCCGGATATAGCTTAGTTGTTAACATGGTATACGGTTTTCATCGTTTCATTGTTGTTTTTATCTTGCACTGGGAAAGAAACCAGAAGCCACAGCGAGATCAATTCTGTTTGTATTTTGAAGTCAATAAACTGCAGAAATCATGCGTTGAACGACCGTATGGAATAAATCAGCGGTGCCCTTAATTTACAATAAATTAGTGAGCTCTTTATAAACCAATAGGATTCAGAACCTTCGTCAGAATCGTTTAGCTGGGTTCTACAGCCATCAAGGGCTTCGCAAAGATAGATTGCAGATCGATATGTTTGATCAAAATTTGAAGATGAAAATTTTGCTGTAGATCGAGTGGGCAACAATATGTATTAACATGGCCAAACCTTGTTTGTCTACGAATGCTTAACATTCAGTCGGGATAAATTAGTGATGCAATGTGTGAAACGTGATTTTCTTACGTGCGCGCTCGCCAATCTAGCAACAAAAACCGGGACGCCAGGCGCTGTAGTCTCCTAGGCCGCGCAGCGTTGGCCCATCAGCCAATACTGGGCTATGACCAACGAGTGGATAAAAATGATGACGCTTCAGAAAGGAGGACTTTTGGACGCTTCACGGCGTCAAATCTTATATGTAGAAGACAGTTTGGGCGCATCTTTCACGTGTGCGATTTTCAGACCGATGATAAGAACGGATTGGTCCTTAGAGCACCGCGAAGTGGTGCTGGAATGTAATGGTGGAACTGAAGAGTAATGGTAGAATCTCCATTCCTCGTTTTTCTGCAACTATTTATCTGTCTCGGAGACAGATTACCACGGCGCCCGTCGTCTGGTAACACTTGCAGTGGCCGACGTCGTTCGGTTTTACGGAAACTGCAACCGAGGTCATCGCTGTCCTTGCTCTCGGGGTTGCGGGTGGGCATGTTCAAACCTTTTGATGTCATTTTTTCACTAATCCATTCTGAAAAACGAACGTTCTCAGGAAAACATGGTATACCTTGTTCGCTTTTTTAAATTCTTGTCGACCAACTGTATACAACAATAATGAGAACCATACCCTACCCAACAATAATGAGAATCCTTGTTTCCTTCCGGGCAAGGGACCCGTTGAGTAGAACACCAAGTGCGCATTATCGGTTCCGGTCAAGGGCTGAAGGGCCACACCGTCCCATCGTGAAATGCCTTCTGGCTGTCATTCTAGCGACACGGTGGAATGTCCTAGCCTATCCGGAGGTCATTAGAAGTACACATCGTATCATATTGCTCCTCTGCCTAACACGGGCAGAGGTTGGCCAGCAAAGTTGGCCCCGGATCAGCATGGAAGCCCGCATTGGCGCAATAATATGCCTGATTGCCGCAAGTGGTTCAATATTTGTCACGTAGACTACAGTTCCGTGTTTTTCTGTTGTCTTCAGAGATATTGAGGACTCCCTCAACGTAAATTGTAGGCGAAATGAATCCTAAATTTTTTAACAATGCTTATCAATGTTCGTTTTAAAACGCTCAAAGTTCAGTCACAATTGATTGCTGATAGAAAACTATGTAATATGGTTTTGAACATGCGCGTTCGCAAGCCACAACAATAACAGCCTCAGCTCCCGGCGTTGAAGTCTCCATAGGCTGCGCGGCTTTCGGCAGTGGTTGTGACACTAAGCAATGGCCAATGAGCAGGCGAAAAAGATGCCGCATCTCGAGGAAGATGGCTGGTGAACTAGGCAAACCGCCATGTACATTTAATGTGGTGCAAAAGTAAGCTATACGTAACCCTAATCTGAAAGGTGTGTGTGGGGGGAGGGAAGTTATCACTGTTGACTCACTCCACCTTGAAAAGTGGGGGCCATGGCCTCCCTGCCCCTCCCCCCCCCCCCCCGTTCCTACACCCATGCAGCCATGGCAACTGCGCCACTCACGCCTAGCGAACAATTACCCGTCAGCGTCAGGCCAGCTGCGTCAGCGTAGGACCATTACCGAATCACTTTTTGGTGGTATAAAGGGCCTTAGTTATATGAATCGAGTCACTTCCTCTCGACAGGACTGGCGAGGGCCAGTGCTGCATGTGCTGCTGAGTACTCCGCGCGTCTTCTGACACGTGAGGACTCACGCCTTTCATTCTGAACGTGCCAGGGTGAAATGTGACTGTTGGTGGACAGTCGATCTTTGTTGTTTCCCAGTGCCAGTGCCACTGCCTAGGCGTTGGGTTTTATTCGCATGCATTGAGAGTACCACATTTTGCCTTTCATGCAGGCGTGCTACCTCTCTTTTCAGCGGACCTCGTGTATGACAACATATGTTTATCTATGAATGTGCTTTAATCCCTTCCGGTCGGGTTTCTGAACACCCGAATAGGGGCAGCCAGTGACAGGAATGGACGAAAGAGGAACGGCGCATGAATAATTCCAATAATGGTTGCCTGAACTTGAAATGGCGTCTAATGACGCAGTCTGTCGCTCAGTTGGCTCGAAATTGGCCAACATACACGTCATTCGCGCACAGATTTTCCTTTGTTGTCAAAATTTTAATTTGATGTATAATTTTTCACATTTCATTGACTGAAGACATTGCATATAAGGCTAAGTAAAACTTCGACCGCACCTGCGACCATGTTGGCTGCGTGACTGTGACCGCGGCCGCATTTTAGGGTCTGATCCGTCGGGAATGGCCTTGATACGCCAGTATCGAGCCAGTCTAGTCACAGACCGGCGGCTGGCGTCGTCGTGCCAAGTTGTTTGATTTTGAGGTATGATCGATGAGATGTATCTTTTACCGTCCCTGCTTAATGATAACTTGTGGCGTTTCATGTCTTACGCATTACAAATAATGTGCAATGGGTTCTTCAAAGCGAGGCTCAAATGTTGACGATGCCTAGCGTGCTATGTCTCAAAATGTTGTTTAAGATGTTTTTTGTTTGAAATGTTGAACTTACGATGCTTTGGTGATGCCGAAAACCAGGAGCTGAAGTTCGTTCTTTTTGTGTCAGGTGCTTAGTTTATGTCAACTAATCAAACCTTTTATGATAATAAGTAGTGTATGGTTCTGAATGCTTCAAGAGGCATACATCTGTAAAGATGCAATATAAATTCTTTAATCTGCATTGCTGGCAAGTGTCAAAAATTGTCGTGGAAGCCATGCAGCTCTGAGGCTTTCCACAGATGACAGTATACATTTTGGCCATTTTAATGCCCTATTCCCCTGGTTATGCATTGTTTCAAGCTGGGGCAAATCTCTCCTAGCCCTGTTTGTATTGTCTTAGGCATTGCATTCCTGGAAAGTAACATTTTTTGACCCTAATTGAGCCAGTGATGCAGGGCAAATGATGGTCATATTCCTTATCATGTCTGAAAGCAAGCAGCACTTGGCTTGATGATATTAATTTGCTTGTTAAGTTTTAGCATGTTTCTGACATATGATGTTGAGAGGTCTAAAACCTCCCACATGCTCTCTCTCTCTCTTGCTGTGGTTCTGTTACACTCCATCCAATTACACCCTCCCTTCTTTGCTATCACATGTACCCCTTTATACTTCCTGTACCTTATACCCCTTTGTACCATGTATCCCTGTGTCCCCTTCATGTACTGCGTACCCCTCCATTGTATGGACTTACTTGGGTTAAGCCTTTGATGACATCCTAATTTTTCCAAATTGGTTATTATTGTAGCAGCGAACAGAAGCCTGATATGACAGCAGCATTTTGCACATGTATGCAGTCCTGTTTTTTTCACCAGGCATCATTCTGAGCATGCCTCCAGATGTACCTAAATCACCAGCCTGCTTTCTGCTGTTTTAGGTGGCACCACCATGGCAGAGAAGACAATTGAGTCGCTGTCCAAGGCACTGGGCTGCGTGCAGCAACTGCGCACCAGCGTATGCGATGTTTTCCGCTACCTGGCTGAGGGCAATGCTGAACCATGCGATGACGACGCCCAACGCAAGCAGTACTGTGGTCGGCCTGAAGGAGACGCTGAACGTGGTGACCCGCAAACTGCATGACGTGGAGGAGGGTGTTAATGTGCTGTCAATGCCACCCAACACTTTTCAGTTGGGCAACACGGGCCAGCTGAGTCATGACCCGACGCAGGACATGCAGCTGCTGTACTGGCCATCTGCTCGACAGCTACAAGTGGACGGAGAAGGTGCGGGACTATGCCTCGTTTGCCAGCCCCGTCTGGTCGCAGAACGGCGTCAAGCGCTCGCAGAACCTGGTGGTGAAGAAGCGGCGGCTACAGATGCAGACGAGCCACTGCCAGCCGCAGCAGCACGTGGACGCCATCTTGAACACGATCGGGCGGAGCTTCATGGACATGGGGCTGCTGATCAGTCGGCCTTGCGGTGCCAACTCGGCCGTCGTGCAGGTCACGCTCGACCGCGTCCTGCAGGCCGTCATCACCTTCAAAGGCCTGCTCATCGAGTGGGTGATGATCCGCGGCTACGACGAGCCCATGTCCACCGAGGACGGCCGCGTCGACCTCTGGACGCCCTCCGACTACCACGTCTTCCGCAAGGTGTCTGAGAACGCGCAGGCCGCCATGGTGCACTACTACGGCCCGCTGCACCCCGAGTTCTCAGCGCGTTCGTACTTGACCTGGATCCACAGCTACGTGAACCTGTTCTCGGCGCCTTGCGTCAAGTGCGGCAGCCGCCTGCAGAACGCCATGCCGCCCACGTGGCGCGACTTCAAGTCGCTGCAGCCCTACCACGAGGACTGCAAGTCCTGAGGGTCCGCTGTTCTCCGGACGCGGGGCGCGCGCGCCGAGGCCGGCGTGGCGTACGCCGTGAGCTGGGTCGGTGACTGCGGCGGGGCTGCGAGGGGTACGAGTGATGACCGGCCTGCCAGCTGAGACGGGGCTGTGAGGGCGCGGCGATGGCCACTGAGGCGGGGCTACGCTGCGGCCCGCCGCCGGTAAGACGCGGCGGACTGGCGTCGGTAACGGCGGCCTGTGTGATGACCTCCGGTCACCCTGGTGTCACGATCGCCATCGCTGCCTCCGGGGTCAGCGCCGCCTGCGGAGGACCAGGTGACCTGGCGGCACGGCGCGGTCACCGCGCGGTGGGATCTCGCTGATGAAACAGTCCCCGAAGCCGAGTGCACCTCGACGTGCCGGCTGGCCCCGGCATCGCCACCGTGCCGGGTCACGTGCTCAGGGTGCTCAACAGCGACAGTGGTCGAGGTGGTTGTTTGCCGGACTGGACGCTGGTTCAGGGCATGGCATACTCGTGTGACAGCTTGGCAAGCTGTGCCCAGCTGGCGCCGCCTCTGGTGGGAAGTGTTCATCTCCGAGGCATGCAGGCAGCAGCAGGGATCGTTGGTTCTCTGCACGCCGGCATCATGGTCCTATGAGTTTGTATGCATCATCTGTCATCAATATAATGTAAACAAGTACGGCGTCGGCTCATTTGCAGTTAGCATCTTTCAAAAAAGCAGAGCATGTCTGAATGGAATGAAATGGCATTCCTTTCGCCGAATGGCCGTAGCGTTGTCTCATGAGATTCATGATGCAGTGTTAAACGTTCAGATCATCCTGGGGTCACTGACAGACGTACAGATGCGGGAAACGTTTGCTGGATCTCGCTTAGTAAGTGAGCGGCGATTATGCAGTAATGACACCACCCAACTTAATTCGTCCCGTTGGTTACATGACTGCCGACAACGCGTCAATATTTGTCTCAAGTTTGAGAGCTGAACTTTTAAATGAGCAAATTCTTGGGAGACACCTTTGACGTTGGTGCGCCGTGTTCTCTAAAGCCCTGCTGTGTGCTGGCGCCTGTCGGGTGAGCTGATCCGTGGCCCCGTGCGCACATCAGCAGCCAGAGATCGCCTCCTGGGGCCTGTCTCGTAGTCGGGTATAGATGGCGCTGCTGGTTGATGCGGCACGCTCCCGGAAGTGTTCACTAGCCATCGGCAAGGGGTTGCGGAAGAATGTACTGTATAGAAATGCTACGTGTGACAACTATTCGCAGGATGTAGGCCGTGCGCCTGGTGTTCGTCTGGGTAAGGTTTGTAATGTAAAAAGTGTATGCTAAAATATTTCGTCGGGAAAAAGTCTGTAAGCAAAATGTTTTCATATGCAAAAGCTCGTGTAGGGAAGGGTCGCACGCAAATGCTCTTCAAGACCTAAGTCTGTGAAATTGAAGTATGTTCGTTCTCGAAGTTGGTGCAAATGCTCGTCGAGGATTACGTTCGTGAGACAAAAGTACACACCCAAAAGTTCGCGTACGGATGCATAGTATGAGTACGCAACGTCCACACAGTAATCTTCGTCTGGGACCAAGTTTGTTTATGAACAGCCGATGCGCAAAAGTTCCTATGTGGATGTGCAATTTACGTTCCAGTGTAGGTCCCATCCTTGGGGTCGGGTCTCGGATGAGCTGCCGCTGCGGAGCCGCCACATCCGCGGAGGGATGTGGGTGGGCGGTAGAAACCTGGCTGGGGGATGACGGTGGAAAGCTACTGTCACAAAGGTCAAGTCAGTTATCATGAATGACCTAGCTCTTCAGCCGAGCCCAGCGACCCCCCCTCCCCCCGCCCTTAATGAATGTGGGGGAAATGAATACGGCTGGACGAAGGAAATGCAGACACCCTCCCTGAAATGCTGGTACACTAAATGCCTCAAACCATTACTAGTTTTTCATGCTTATTTTGTAGCACATAGTACCATGTGCGTGTGTCAATGTGCGTCGTTCAAATTGCCTTATTCGTTAGGCAAGTGTGCAAGAAGGCAGGTATTGGCAGATTTCTCACGAGATGACACCTGAATCGGACCAAAAATATGCGGCACCGTGGTTTCGGTTTCGGCTTCCCGTCTCGGTTCACGGTGTGCGGTGTCGATGCCGAGAAAAATGCTGAGAAAAACTATGAAAAGAACCTGCCCGGCGGATGTCGGTGTTTGCTACGACGAGGAGAAAGTTTTTCTACACGCATCTTACTAGACGACGTTACTCAAAAAGCATGCCAAGCCGCTCAAAAACAAAACGGTAGATCACCAAAGTCACAACGCGCGGTATGTTCCACCACGGGGGAAGATCGCGACTGGGCAATATTCTTAAAATCCGGAGGTCCACCCGGTCTTTGGCTGTACCTTAGCTTCTTACTTCAAGTCTTTATTTATTGCACCGTATTCCATTGCCGCATATCAAGCTACCATGTGTTTATCAAATGGTATGTACGCGCCCTGTAATCGTGAGCTTCTACTGCGTTTATAGAACCGGTCACGAACGCCGCCTTTCAGTTTGCTCTCTTACAATATCTCAATCAATATCAGCTATGCATAAAGCAAGACAATATCAGCTACGCGTTAATATTACGTAGCTTTAGGCGGCTGAATAGCAAAGCCTCTTGGTGTCCAAAATTTGAGTGCACCTTGTAAGGTTGCTGGCTTAAAGCAGGTCAAAGACAGGTATGGCTTCAGCGAAAAAAATTTCTAGGGGAATCGTTCAATCTTATGTAACAACGGAGTGCTAGATAAAGCCATACATCTCTGAAATAGTCTCTCAGCCAACACAACAATTCAATTGACAAATTTCAGCAACCTAGGGTTACGTATGAAAGTAAGACCAAGGTCAAACCAACGTGTTTTTTACTCTGTAGCTTGCTCTATGGGGGTAGTCGCTGGTGCTCATTATGCATTTATTGATTGCAGGATTCACCTCATGCATCTTCCATGGACTTTCTACAGATCATAAAGGTTAAACAAGGTCACTGACCTTACAGAGCACCAGTGACGTTTTGCTCAGAACAGGTATCTAGGTTCACGGTGGTTACATGAGAAGGTCTGGGCACTTTGAACACCAATCTAGAGTTTGACCTTGTTGGACCCGAAGGTCATAACATAGGAACTTTAAATTTTGACACAAGTTGGTGTCTCCAGTTCTCTCAGTTTCTGAGATCTCAGCTTGGGTCAAATTGACCCCCATCCGGGTGAAAGGTATTCAACTGGCCACCAAGGTACGGCTAGTCTGCACCTGTCAGGTCATGTCATTCAACATAAAACTGTCGTTTCTGCTTTGCGCCACCTTCTGTGCACTATCACGCTAGTCCCATTTCCGGTGCTAATGTCAGACCACCTTAATGAGATATTTTCTGTGAATTACATCTGATCATAAGTTTGTTATAAAGCTGCAGCGTGGCATTATCTTGAGATGGCAAGTCCCTCTTACGTAAAACAGTCTTTATGGCCACAATTTTTCACGTTCACAAAAACTCGTATCCCAACTTTAGCAACTCAAGATAAGCGGCCAACATCCGGAGAAAATCAGGTTTACGTTAGGGCAATCATATCGGCAGAGCCCCCAACCGATTTAAAAAAGTCATGCCCCCAGATGTGTGCTTTCCTTCCGAACTTGTGTCCTAAAACCATCTGCAAGACTTCAAAGCTGACCTTTGCGAGAAGACCGTGGACGGCCTGGGAGATTCTTACCTTGTTTGGTGTTATAGGGCGGAGAGACAATGCCCACCAATAATTAATCCCGCTAACCCCGTATGAAATCACAAGGCAGTGACCATTGCTCCTTGACTACCATTGCACACTTCTTGAATATTTAAACGTTCCCGAAAAGGGACTCCGTGTGCTTCGGAGATTTTGCGTTCGCATTTTTTGTTCTCGGTTTCATGACTGCTCCTACGTAGGTGAGCATTCACAAATAACGCTCCAAAGACGCCTTCGCCCAGTAGGAGAACAAATGCCATCTGCGTAATTAAGCACTGGAAACTGTATCTAGCGTTCAGGAGTACGGCAAAGACGACGACTAATGACAAAAGGCAAACGCGAAGTACATCTGCTTAAATATCGAATGTGCACCACTCTGAAGTAATTTCTGAAATACTTGTTAAGCGTAGCACACGAGCGGAACTTCGACCAGAAGGTGACTGCATGGCTGCCAGAAGCATCCGTTTGACCAACAGGTGGAGTCAAGCCCCCCCCCCCCCCCTCCTTCGTTTCCTTTAAGCTTGCATTATTCTTAGTCATAGCTGGCTACTGGCAAAAATTTAAAGTTAGTACGATGGGTTCCCACTAATGCTCGCTTCCCCACCCCTCGAGAACATTCTAGTTGTGCCCCTGGCTGGTGTCCCTAAACATGATCGTTTCCGTGCCCCATAGCCGATTTCCCCGAGGGAACACCGGTTGAAGTCTTTTCACAGTACTCGCTTGGAGCGAACAAAAAACATGCCAGAGATGCGGGCATGGTGTCACTGACACTTGTCAGCGATTTGGAATAAAGGTCACGCCAATGCGACAATAGGCTACCGCAAGACTGATGTGAGAGCGTAGAACGCCACTTGCTCGATGATAAATCAGAATTATGTACAAGCAGCCAGTGAGCCATACGCTGATGGGCACAGGACATCGCGCTTGCTTTCTCGAGCTTGGATTCTGTCCTTTAGATCTACGTATTCGAGTCTGAATCGAGACTGGAGCACCAGCGACACGTCGGAATGCGCGAAGAGAAACGTGGGTGCGCTATGCAGCCTGGTATTCCACATTTTAGCATCACCGACACTGGAATGAAGATCTGACTCTTGACTCTTGGCAGCAGTACACCCACGTCCCACCTCCCCGAGTTTCCAGAAGACATCACCTCCGCCGTCGGCCTTGACCCCGTCCACTATAAACGGACTGGCGCTTGCGTGACCCCCACCCTCTTCCTCCACCTCCGTCGGCGGTGGGTCTGTTTGAGGTGCGGCAGCGATCCCGGCCCTATTGATCTGGCGGGCGACGAGCCTGCGCCGTCACCA